AATATTGCTATAACTGCTTCACAGTGCCATCATTTATACCCACTTCAGATAAGGCCTTTCTGACTACAGTTATTGTATAAATACAATCCCCCCAAAAGCCCACAAAACTTTTTACTTTTGTCTCAAAAAGTCACATTTGAAATAAATCCTAAGAAATAAGCATGATTTTTAGGGACGAAAGGAAATTAAGGTGCTTCAGCTTTCACACTCTGACTTGTTAAAGTGATTCATTTCTGTTAAATACTGCATATTGTATACCTATCATATGTATCCTTATATTTATAGCAATTTATTTATATTGATATACACAGAGAGGGGCACTGTGCAAAATACCTCAGAAAAGAAAAATCATTTCACAATTCCCCTTATTGCTTATTCTCTGGAAATTTTTATAGGCCTCCTTCTGGTTTTTCATACTTGAAGTGATAGGCCAGCTCTCCTGAGTAACACCATGATCAATGTAAACATGAATGCTTAACAGCTCACACAGGCAAAAATCACACACACACACACACAAAAATAAATCTATACTGACAAGCTCAAACACTCTTTCAATTTTTAAGTTCCCTTTATACATATGATGAGCTTCCAGATTCAGATCTGATTTTTCATTTTATGAGTTTTTCACTTTTTTGACTAGTATCAGTATCAGAGAGAAAGTTTTTTTGTTGTTTGATTTTTTTATTAGTTTGTTTGTTTGCTATGGAATTTTCCCTCTCCTTGCAAAATTTCAAAGCAGGAAAAATTTAAGAACTACAGAAAATGCCTGGCATTTAAGTCAGATCTGGTATGACCTAAATCCAACTTTCACCAATTACTAATTTGCAGTCTGTTGCAAGTTATTTAACCTCAGGCTTGTATCTGTGTAAAGGAGATAGCAACACCTACCAAACAAGTTTGATGTGAGGACTAAATGATATAATACATGTAAGCATGTAACTGATATGTAATCAGGATTAAATAAATACAAGTTATTTATTATTGTCACAGATTATCTGAATTAGTCTCCTTATCTTGAGAGTTTTTCCTACATAAAATTGCTAAGGTTTGAATAAATAATAAATGAGGAATTTAAATTATATGTTTTATTCTTTAACAAAGTATTTGTTAAGCATCACACCTTGTGGTGCCATACCCTGGAGATAAAATGAATAACCCTATTATCCAATAGCTCAAAGCTAAGTGGGGAAGACAGGAACCAAAATAAATAATTACAAAAGAGCCTTAAACACAAACCCAGTATATGTATAAGGCATACTTGTGACTGACATGAAGGTGGTTCAGCTCTGTCTTCACAGAAAAAGGCACTTGCCTGATTCTTAAAGATGAGTATTTGGTCTCCAGATATGAGTGAATCCACATGGTTGTATCTGAAACACAGAACTGCCTCACAGTTATATGTGTAGACTTAACGAACTATAAATGATACAGAATGTATAAATGAGTCATTGACAGTGAACAGATCCAAAATGCTGGTGTGGCCTTGATTTATAGAACTAGTTCACCTTTTTGGTGGTCACTTACATATCCCCTTTTCCTGAGCCAGTATTGCAAATATTGAAATTCACTCTCTACGTTCAGCCTCCTTGACACTTACCCATTCTATCTATGAATTGAATCATGAAAGCAGCTATGAATTCCCTTGCAGTTGCTTGCTCTAAGAATTCATTTTCCTTCCTTCAAATAATAATGTTTCAGCTGCTTTGGGGAAACTACCACTTTCCCACTGTTGGTTATGCATTTTTGGTGGTATTGCGTAGGGTTTATTGGCCATAGTGACTGAGGTCAAGGAAAGGTTTCAACATATTGATTTATTTACTGGATGTGTTCACAAATCAATGGATGAATACAGACTTCACCAAATAGGCATATTTTCCTGGCCATCAGGATTGCTCCAGGCATTGGACATTCATTTAATCCAGTCCCATAAGTGTGTTCCTCAGAACAATTGCTAGATGTGCTATATAACAATACTCACTCTGTAGTGGGAGGTAAGAGAATGTGAGGGTTGCTGCTGCAGCTGCCATTTTACATCCATTTTACACCATCCTGAGAGCTGAGCTAGCCCAGGGAACAGGGGGTAGTGTAAAAGAGAAATCCTAATGATTAGAGTTCTAGCTTCCAATTTAGCTGAACTGTTTGTTTACATTAGCCAATGATATGCCATGCTTATTAATCCAATTTAAGTTGTCAACAATTTAGAGCAGAAAGAATCCTAATAGGTATCATCTTTTAGTCAACTAGTTGCAATTCTTCATTTGTATATCTGTGACCTATCACTTCCCAAATTTTGAGATCTTCTCAGTTTGTAGAAAGTCAGTCTATTTTTATCAACTTTCCACCTGTTTCAAAATATCAGGACAATTCAGGAATCATCATCCATGTAACAGAGAGAATTTAAATGTAATGCTTTCTGATTCCTGTTGCTGCTTTGTTTTTTTCCTTCATTTTATTCCTTTTCCTCTGGTCCAGAAAGCCAATTTCCATTCCCATGGATCTCCCAATGGCTTTCAGTTCCTCAGTTTCTTATGTCATCTTATTTTTTACCACTTTTATTTTAGATTTTATAGATGTGTGCAGCTAGCATGCAGAAATAAATTCTTATATTCCGTGCCTTTAGGTAACTACTAACCTGATTCATAACTTGTCAGAGCAACCATTTCTAATTATCATTGTACCAAAGTTTAAAATTATTTTGATAGAGTAAATTATTAAAAAATAGTAATCTAGAAAGTATTACAACTTACCAATGATAGGACTCATAAGATTACCACAAATTAGATATGAATAAACAATATTCAAAATTATAAATATACATAACATTAAAAATGTACTGTGCATACTTTAATATCTAATTTAATTTTTTTCTGAATCAGAAAGTGCTTCAGCGTAATCAATGAACATCAGTTAACATTTTACTATTGATTTATAATGAGATTCTTAATAGAGAATTTTGGTTGACTGCCTGATAGATAAGTAAAATTTTATCTTATATAAATTGTGCTACAGTCCAGTTTTAAATAAATTCAAATATGCATAAAATATTAGTTAATAGTTATTCCTCTTGTTTCTCCTGCATCATTTATTTTTTTTACTAAGTGGCTTTAAGGAAAAATGAAACTTGTTAACTAAGGATTAAAAATAGCTATATGTTCTCATCCAGTTTACAAATTAGTGCTTCTAATTCAACTCCAGCCTTAAACATTTCTTTTTTTTGATCCATCCTATGTAATAGTTACATACTTTCCAAGTATATTTCTTTTATCTTAGTGCTAGTAGATAATGTGCTCGCTTATACATCTTTGTAATTGTTCATTAGCTGCAAGCACTGTGCTTTGACTTTTATGTCCTTGAAACTATGAAATAGTGTTCCTATAATTCAGTTCTTCCTAATATTTCTACTTTAAATAGAATGTCTTATGAAACTGAGATCTGAGCATTTTAAAAAGATCTGAGCTGGGGATATCAGTTTAGTCAGAACAGTGTCAAATGTGGAACCCAAACAACATAATTGGTACCTTGAGGCTGAGATTGATGTGACATTCTCTTGAACGTATTTTAATGATTATGCATATTTAAATTAAAATTTAACCTCCTGACATTCAAACCAACAAGCCATTCACCATCCAACTATAGAGCCATGTCTGACAAATAAGATGACATACAGCAAAAGTCACTAGTCTCGAATCTATGCTTATTGCACAGGAAACTTCCCAAAGGCCCAGTTTGCTAACATTTTGGCAGTGGATTTTGATATGAGCACAGCTTTTCTGGTTGCTTATACGGCAAGAATTTACTTCAAATATTTGTCCATATACTAAATGGCTGCTAGCTAGAAATGGTGGTATGGTGTATATTCAAGTCATGACATCTTTTAAGTTTTATTATTTTACTTTTTGTATGCATGGCAAGCAGTTTTCTGGTGATGCCACATAATACAATTTCTTGCTTCCAGGAAAACTGGATGAGATAGGAGTCCGTACTACACACACTCTACCCCTCCTTATCAATACCCACCTGTCCAGAAATAGTATTTGTGATCTTATCCCTTTTTGCACTACTTTGTCAGCTTCAAAGTAGCAGGGCTCCTGCAGAGAAGTGTGTCTGTGAACATGGCCAGAACCAGGTTGGCAGGTCAGATACCACAGTTTGTTTTACACCACATGTTCTTGTCACAGCTCATTTTGGTGCCATGGATCTGCAAGTATGTTTCAGTTGAAGAGTCTAAGGTCAAATGAAAGTGACACTCCCATGCATAGCGGGATCTCAGTGGGAGAAAGGATCATCATTCAATCATTCAATGCTATTTCAAATTTATAATTTCATTTTGCATTTGTCATAGTGCCAGCTTTAGAGTAAAATGCCAAAGTAAAAATTCTCATGTTCAATAGCAGGCACGAATAAAAAATATTGTATCTGACTGAATCTGTACTTGCTGTGAACAGTTAACTTTTAAATTGGGAAGGCGCCAGGGGCCTTTGGCTTCATTCCATAATTGTCAAAACCAAAATACACCAATGTTTATGTCAGTGAAATACAGAAGACCCTTCTTGCCAATTGCCTTTGTGTTTATTAACTTCAAGTCCCAGATGAACAACCCAGATCAGTTTTGCCACCCACATTACAAACAGCATAGCAAATTCATAGTCTTTCTTCAAAGAACAGAAATAATTCTGAAATATGATTAAACTCACAGTGTCCTTGTGAGGGAGATAGTAAGAGACAGAGTATTTTCTCTAATTTCAATTTCAGGAAAGCAAGGAACACAAAAGTTAAGTGGCTGGTCTCCATTTATTCAAATAAATTTATTCAGGAGTAGAGCCAGAAATAAAGATCAAGTCTCCTGGCCCATGTGAGGGCCCATGCTGCCTCACAGCTGTCAAAACCCTCATTTTCCTGGAAAATGCTAAAAAGCTTTCCCTTACTACAACATTAAATTCAGACATACTGCCATCTACTGACCCACCAAGGAATGTAGTACTTTCCCTTCAGAATGTCATCTCCAGGATGCCAATGGACTATGTTTACTGGACAATTTAGGAGAATGGTGTAAGAGGTAAGTGAATTTATGACATTTCTTTCCCTATCAATGGATTAGTATACTGGCATTCTTAAATTTTATATAGCAGTGCAACAAGGCACCTTGTTGTTTGTATGCGGAACGTCTTGAAATCACCTGTTCCTCTCTGTGCCCTTATTTTGACATATTCTTCTAGGGAATCAGCTAGTCTGAAACAGCCTATCTTTTTACATAAAACATTTTGAGGAATGCCATACCATTTTTATGTTGTCCATATTGTCTTATACCAGTGTCTTATGAGATGTGCTAGTTATCCTACATGTTGCCAAAGAAGGAATGATAGAAACCAAGCTAAACAGCTACAGTCCTGCTGTAGAAAATATCATAAAATGAAGAAAATATCATAAAATGTCCTAAAGGTGTTCTAATAATAAGAGAACAGGATCTCAAATATATTTTTGACAAGATTCCCTTTGTACAGGACCAACCTGTTATTTTCGCAGAAATGTACGTCAGTATCTTTTTTCACTGTATCAACACTTCACAGCTTGCCTGCATTCTCCCTAGGATAAAAGTAACATTTTTCGGGTTCAATCAAGTTGCTCTTTTCACACACAATTGTTGTGTTCATCTCATTATCATAGCTGAATTAAAGTTATGACGTTTGTCTCTCACTGTTGCTCATCATTGTATTTATTCTGTTGCCTCTAAGAAAAAAAGTCAAGTCTACATATTTGGAATAGATATTTGTTTTTGATTAGAAAGACTGCACAAAAATTTCTTAATACAGAACCAACTTTTATAAGCCTAGTTCACACAGTATCAGAGAGACATCTATGCCACTTTGGTTACCTGTCTACATCCTGCTTTAAGATCTTAAGAGAAAATTCTTTCCTCTGATGGTGGTTCACAGACAACATGCTTAAGAAATCTTGAATATAGAACTTACTTCTATTCTTTCCAAATATAAAAGCTTATGCTCAGAATAATTTAATTGTTTTTATAAAGTAATTGGTTTGATCTTTACAATTAATCAAACAGAACTTATCTTTTCAAGTTCACAGTTTGAAACTCAATCTGAAGAAGACCATTCATTTAATTTGGAATAAATGTCTATATTTGTCCAGCCAAATCTTTATAGAAATATCTTAATTTGAGGTCAACTTAGGCAGAAATGAGAAAAGGCATTGTCACCACATTTTGGAAACATCAAGAGGGTGTCAAAAAGTCACAAAAGAGGTAGAGATTACAAGTAGAGGTATATTAAGAATGAAAACATTAGGGAGTGTTACTGATTCACTAAAATCAGAACATTGTGGAATTTTACTTGAAAAGTCTACAGAGAGAAAACTCCAGCACAGAAATCTGGCCCTCACGTGCTTAGTCCTTATTGAAAGCCTATTAGATGTTGGAAGATAAGAGTGAGTTCAGGAAAAGGTTAGACGGAAAATGAGAAGACAAGAGGTGATGAGGAGAGAGGGAAGGAATTTGAACATGTTTGGGATGAACTTAGACAAGGACCCAGATATTTGGAGGGTTTATATGAAGTAAGCTGAACCACCAAACTTTCTGAGAAGCAGTAACAACAACAAAATATTTTTTAGCTTTCTTCTATTTAAAGCACATGCACCTATAGCAATCTTTCACAAAATGATTATATACACTTGCTTCTCTTTACAACATAGTGACAATATATCATACTGTAGGAGTCTTTGTGCTTTAAAAATGTTTATAGAAACTTTATTTCCCAGATACCAGAAAGGTGAATTAGTTCAATGGTGTTATTCACACATTCTATGTTATTTATCCTTTCATTTGTTTCTATTCTTATATTTTTGATCATCTGTTTTAAAACAAAATTATAACATCATTTTCTTAAATGAAGAGCACAAGAACAATTTCAACTGAGATTTCAGGCCTTTGTACAAATTGGCATGGTTTATTTTAAATAGAAAATGATGTAATCAGCTCTAGTTTCCCACCTAGTTGAGACAGAAGGGACAGAGGCCAAATGTGGCATTCCAGCTGAGATGAAGAAGCTGCTGATAGTTCAGAGGCAAAGTAGCTTGTTCCACAGAGCAAGTACCAGAAGGCAAAGGTCTTCAAAAAAAGAAATGTCTGGCAATATGCAGAAGGTCTGTCTCAAATTTTTCAGTACAGGACTAATCTGCACATGTGTGTGAGAAAGATAAATCTACCTGAAGCTGAGGAAAGAATCACCTGAAGCTGAGGAAAAATTAGGGAGAACAATTCTTGGAGACTATACAGAACCAGGAATATTGCCTGTTTCTACTATCCAAAAGAGTCCATTTATCAAGAGGATACAATAATCATAAATATTTATACATATAGTAACAGAGCTTCAAAATACATGAAGCAAAAATAGATAGAACTTCAAAGAGAAATAGATAGATCCACAATTATATTGGAGAGTTCAACACCTCATTCTCAATAATTGATAGAAGTAATGTCAGTTCTATACAATCTTCCAAAAATTGAAGAGGAGGGAATACTTTTCTAATCACTCAATGATGACAGCATTACTCTGTTAGCAAACCAGAAAAACTTTACAAGGAAAGAAAACTAAGGACTAATATTTCTCATGAACATAGATACAATAATTCATAAACAAATCTAAATAAATGGAATCCAACAATATGTAAAAAGGTCAATTCTTCATTATCAAGTACAGATTATTTCAGAAAATCCAAGGCTACTTAACATTTGAAAATTTATCAGTGTAATTTACCATATTTACAGATGAAAAAAGAAAAATCATAATTTCAATAAATAGAACAAAAAACACTTGACAAAATCCACATCTATTTCTGATTTTTAAAAAAACTCTCAATATATGAGGAAAAGACAACTTGAGTTTTAAAAATCTGAAAAAAACCCTACATATAAAATCATACTTGGTGTTATGAGATTTATTGATCTTCCCTTAAGATCAAGAACAAGAAAATTTCATTATGTCTATCCAGCACTGTAATGAAGGTTCTAGCCAATGTACTAAGACAAGAACAATAAATAACCACATTCAGAATGGAAAGAAAGAAGTCACTTTCTTTATTTGCAGACAACATGATTATCTTATGTAGAAAATCCAATGGCACCTACACACACATCAAAAAAAGCTATTCAAACTAATAAATGAGTTTAGGAAATTAGCAAGATGGAAGAACATAGAATAAATACATTATATTTTATATTCTATCAACATACAATCAGAAATTTTAAAAACAGTATTTGTTATAACTTTTAAAATATTTATAAAGTACTTATGGATAAATATGATGAAAGATGTTGAGACCATGACACAGAAAACTACAAAACATTGATGAGAGAAATTAAAGAAGACATAAATAAATGGACGGACAGTCCATGTTCATAGATCAGAAGACTCAATATTATTAAGATATTGCTTCTTCACAAATTGATCTATAGTCAATCCAATTTCAGCCAAAACTCAGCAGGCTGTTCTACAGTAATTGGAAATATAATTCTATTTTTTCATATGGAAATTAAGGTGTCTAGAAAAGTTAAAACAACTTTGAAAACTAACATAGTTGGAAGACTTAGACAACCTGACTTTAATACAGATTATACAATATACAATATTATTATCATATATTAATATTGTAAAATATACAATATTATTATTATTATGCAATAATCAAGACAGTGTGACATTGGCATCAAGATATACAAATAGATCAGTGAAACAGATTAAGTAATCCAAAAATTGATTTTCAGGATAAATGCAAAGACAATTCAGTGAGAAAGAATAGTTTTTTAAAAAAAATAATGCTGGAAATTGGATATCTACATGCAAAAAATAATGAACTTTAATACTTCATACAAAAAGTAGTTCAAAATGGATCTCAAAGTTATGTGTAAATTTAAAACTATTAAAGTTCCTAGAAGAAAGTAGGAGATTTTTTTTTTTTGCCTTGGGTTAGGAAGGATTTCTTACATAAAAAACTAAAAGCACAACTACATACAAGAAAAATTGATAAATCCTATGTCATCAAAATTAAGTACATTTTCTTATAAAAAGACACTGTAAGGAGAATGAAAAGCAAAACCATGGACCAGGGGAAAGTATTTGCAATTCATAAAGTTGGCAAAGGATTTGTGTCTAGGGTATATAAGAAACTTTCAAAATAAGAAATAAATTCACACCGAATCTTGGGCAAAAATTTTGAACAGACTTCACAAATCATGTATGGATGAGCTCACTTCCTCCCCCCACATTCTCCCCCCAACCATAAACACAAAAAAGGGTTCATGTGAGCACACATGGAGATGGTAACCACCTGCAAGTCAAGAGAAGAGACCTTGGAATGAAACCTACTTTGCCAGTGCCTTGATCTGGGACTTCCTAGCATCCAGAACTGTGAGAAATAAATTTCTGTTGTTTAGGGAAAAAAAAGTATGTGAATACTAAATAAGCACAGGAAAAGGAGCTCAAATTATTAATCATTAGGGAAATGCAAACTACAATAAGATATCTCTACACATCATTTAGAATGTTTACAATTAAATTACTGACTCAACCAAGTGTTGTGAAGGATGTGGAGACATTCATTTTACTCATAAGTATGTACAAAAGATAAATGAAAGAATATGTCCATTAAAGAGGTTGTTCATAGCAATGTTATACATAACATTATTATCTATTATACATAATAGATAAAAATTGAAAACAACCCAAATTTCCATCAATAGGTGAATGAATGAACAAATTGTAGCAAATGAACTGCTGCTCAGCAATAAAAAGAATGAAAAAAAACTGTTTATTTTATGTCATTTATACTTTTAATAAAAAGGAAAGCAGTGAGTAGCAAGAGATAAATTGGCTAGCCTGGACAGAAAGATTTGCACAGAAAATGGTCCCAATTATTCCCTCTCTTGTATCCATGTATTTTGCATGTATCTGAGGATGTTGTAGTTCCTCTAAACAGAGATGAAGCCTCCAAAAGATAGAATATTATTCAGCACTAAAAGGAAATGAGCCATCAAGCCATGAAAAG